TTCTTGAAACTGTTTGTTGCATGAAGTCAGTCGAGAACACGTTTCCCCCCTCGAGCGTTTTGTGGTTTGCGATCAAATTATCAGTGAAGTTCACTCTTTTTGTCCAAATGAGGGCAGTGATGGTGTCACACACGGAGCTGATGTTGGTGAAAAAGTAACATACGCGTCTCTCCAGGACTCATATTCACAATCCCCTCGCTTAGCTCCGAATCAAACCTAAAGTGCATTAGCAGGGAGTCCCAGCTAACACCGAGTCAAAACTTTACTGATGCTTCAACGTTTCTCTTGTGCCACACGTTTAAGCTCAGAGCTAAAACACTTCATGAATAACTTATCATTGTGACAGTTTTAGTCCCAACTTTAAAGGGAAATTCTTAAAAACTAAGACTTTTCATAGGATGCTGTCACCAGGAAACAAACTCTTAGTACTTCAGAGTTTTGTGAATCCGGGCCCAGGAGATGATGTTATACCAGGTCCTCTGATAACCAATAAAAAAGGAATACAACGCCTTGCTCCTCTCGACCAATCACAGTTTGAAGTGAGTGTTTATGTCGTGCTAGAGCTCCAACATTTCCTTATAAGCAACATCACTGACGTCAACCACAGACGGAGGTTGGAAGGACAACGAATGCACACGTTAGTGAACTTTCCTGGAGATGTTTCCCAGTCATCTACCACACGGACAAACACGATGTGAAAGTAAAGTGAAGCTACTTGCATGAGAGTCAGACAGGAAAATGGTGCATGCCAACCCTTTAGGGTTAAACTAGGAAGAACAAAAGACAGAACAGAAGAATGAAAGAACTAAAGAACGGCGCTGTGACACAAACGACGCTTATTTAAGACTGAAGATACAAACCTCCAACATTAAATTGCTATGTCTGATATAAATTGTTTCACCCTCAAGTTTCTTTGATCTTTTCTGTGGAGATGAGGAAAAAGGAAAACACTGGTTTAACATAACAACTGGTTTGAACGTTTCACATGTGATTCTGAACAGCGTCCCATGAGCACGACTGACCAATGACACGAGCCGTATCAAAAATCAATCACAACAACGATGCAGGCTGCAGCCCGACTGCGTCCAGCTCAGTGAAGTTAACAGCAGTCATGTGTTTGACGCAGCAGGCTGGGACCCAGTTCCTCTCCATCCCCACACAGCGAGCTGGTGGAGGCTCTCTTAACTTAAGGCACAAACACTGGAGATTCTGAGGAACCTCGCTTTTTACGACTAAAACAGGAAGTTGGCTTGTTATCAGTGATTTATACCGCTACCAGCTGAATGCATCCATCACCTGTTATTACATGCACCGATGATTCAACACTGATCTTATTCTTCTTTCTTAATAGAACTAAATAAATATTTCATATTGATCACTACTGACACAGTCAGTGTGAAATACACTGGACACAAACATGGAGGCACCCTTACAGCATCGTTGGTGCAGATTTAATGTTGGAAGGCTTCATAACCTGATGTGTCCACACAGAAATATGTGGGGATCCCAGGGGAACTAGGTCGCATATTTGCTGCACATCTATGGAAGGCACATTCTGTGCATGCAAAGACTGCTGCAGTGCGGTGTGCAGGAAGTGCAGGATGATGCGTGCCTGTCTCCTGAGTCAGATCTGGAACTAATGCTTTCAAAAAATCAAACAATATTCAGTGATAACTGTTTCAGGTGTCTCGTAGATTGAAATACCTGAATGCCTCTCCATGCCATAAGCCTAGCTGTTTTAATTTAAATATCATCTGCATTCAGTTTAAAATATGTGTGTGGACAGTCAGAACGGTGAGAAGGCAACAGGAAAACATTTCAATCATAGTTCAATTTAAAAGAACGTAAGGACATGATGTGAAATGTAAATAAATGTATAAATAGGATTCAATGATTTTCAACTCTCACATATTTTACTCTCAGCTCAGAAAACCGTTTAAACTGAGACGTTTTAATATTTTATGAAAAATAAGCTCCTTTTGAATTTGACGGCAGAAAAACATCCAAAAACAAGGCTGGAGAAGTCAGTGGTACTAAGAGGAAACAGATGGCTGTGTCAAGCAACGAAGAAGCCGTGTGTGAATATGATGCAGAAAGGCTGAAGCCTTCACTGTTTAGGTTAATTAAATGGACTAAGGAACCTGCTCCATAGAAACAAAGCCTGCATCCCTGATGGTACGGGGGTTAGGGTACACACACGTTTTAGTGTAACATCTGCTCCTATCCAGATGTTGTTATCATGGAAGAGCTCAAACTGCACGTATTACCACAACATGGCTTCATACTGTCCAGACTGGCCTGAACTATCCAGACCTTTGAGTAGCTGAGAACATTTGGGCCGCCACGTAATGACCAAACTAAAAACACAGAGGACTCCCGAGCAGCCACAGAGCTCCACAGCATGCTCAAACAGCTGCAAACACGCTGCAGTCCAGCTCTGTGCACACGTGTTACATTTACACAGAACCAGTGTTTTTCATTCAAATGTGAAAACGTCTCAGTTTAAACATTTTGGTCTTTTATGTTTTACTGTGAATAAAATACCTGCTTATGGCTTTTTCTTTATCCTGACATTTTTGGAACTGGGGCTGTACCGTCCCAACACATTACTGGTTATAGGAGCCCACTTTAGCCCACTTTAGCCCACTTTAGAGGCTCAGACTTATTTACACATCCAGCACTTACAGAAAGAAAGAAACTACTACAATAATATAATAATAATAACAACAATAATCATAATAATAGCAGTAATAATATGAGAGAGCCACTTTGTCCAAGAGCTGCAGGCGATGAGAGATGCAGTTCAAACTTGCAAAGTTGAACGATTCATGATTCAACTTCAGAAAAGCTCAGGAAACACAGCAGCATTCACAGAGAAGCAGGCAGCAGAAATAATGAAGCAACCAAGGCAGCAAATCACTGAAAATAAACATGATGTGCAGCTGATGCAGGATCACAGCAGTGACACGCTGACCTTCCTCACTCGAACCATCTCCATCTTTCTGTCCTGCAGAGAGTGCTGCTCTCACCAGAGGAAACACAGGAACATGTTACTGACACTCAGCACACACACACACACACACACACACGCACACGTGCGCACACACACACACACGCACACACACACACACACACGCACACACAGACATACACTCGCTTAAGTCCCATTTGGGGTCGCATATCTTAACTCCCACCCTTTGGGGACACCACTTTCTGTATGGTTTAGAAGCAAGCTGGCAACTCAGTTTTACTCCTCCAAGACCACAGAAATAAAAAATCACTTGAGATTTTCATTTTAAGCAATATTTGTTCAGACAGTATTTTTACCTTCCCATTGGGGACTGGGAATGTTTAATGTCCCCTTTGGGGTCTTCAGCGATACACAGATACACAAACTATTTTATGCCACTTTTGGGGACCTTATTTCCATTTGGGGTCTTCAGCAACACACACATACATAAGTTATTTTATGTCAGTTTTGGGGACCATACTTCCCTTTTGGGTCTTCAGCAATACACACATACACAAGTTATTTTATGTCAGTTTTGGGGATATTACTTCCCTTAAAGGCAATTCCTTCAAAGTACAATGTAAGGTTAACTACCCAATCTAACAATAATCTAAACAATAATTAAGGTCTCCATTTATCTTGAAGAAATCAAAACTATGTCCAATGTCTCGGCCACAGAACAATTTAAATTTTTGACTGCATTTATTACTACTGTGTTGTTTTGGGAGTTTATATGCACATCATTAATGCAGAGAAACTTGGATAAAAAAAATCATCTGTACTATTGAGTGTTTGTTACCAGCAAATTGTAAGGCAAGAACTTTGCTTCCAAATATGTTCACTGGGAAGAAGTCCCTGGTCCCCTGTCTTCATCTTGATCTGTTTTCTTATTCTATTGTGTGTTTGTTGCCTCCATACCTGAAAGAAGAGACTCAATCTCATTGCTTGAGAAATCCGGATTTTGCAGATCAATTTTTTTTTTTTACGTTTCAGGCATTTCTCATGATGCTGCTTCAGCTTGGTTAGTCTCGAGTAGATAAACATAAGTTAAATAGGCAAACATTAGACAGTTAACCTAGTTTTTATATTCTATTTAAACTAAAAAAGAAATTTCTAATTTCAACTATGAATTGTTAACACAGATAATTTGTA